TTGATGTTTGTAATAAAAATCTTAAGAATAGATAAATTATCTTTTGTAAAATTAAAAAGCAGTTTAAGTTCATATTGATCGTCTTTGTAGAATTTAGCTTCTAATTGGGATTTGGCTGATATCTCATCAGGTAGATGTCTCTCAATCTCTGTCTCTTCTGAATTATCTTCTAAGTTTTGATTTATTTCATCCTCTAGATTTTGATTAATTTTGTGAAGAACTTTTATACAATAGTTAACCAATTTTCTATTGTATTTAATACAATCACACATGACCAATCTTCCATTATATAATATTACAGAAGGAGAATATTCTGAAGATTCTTCAAGTATACTAGATATGATTCTGTTTTTTTGTATACGCGATAAAGGTAGTGAAGGTCTTACATAAGGTCTATCTGGATCTTTGTCAAGTACACTTGATATTGACCTTTTTCTCATTATTTTGTGAATGATGTTAATTTGTTAAAGATATTATTATAGACTTAAAGAAGATAATAGTAACAAAATTAAAGCTTTTAAATATTATAAAAAATCAGCTAATAAAGGATATAAAGATGCATAATTTCAACTTAAATATTATTATTTTATTAAACTACTTTAATTAAATTAAATATCAACATTTAAATTGATGAGCATATTTTAAGTTGATTTGATATTTATAATAAAATTTAAAATTTGATTAATCAAAGTATATTTAAGTTGATTGATATTTAAGATGATTTGATATCTATTTTAAAACTATAAAAGAGATCTCATTTTCTTCATGACTATTCTCACTTCTCTCTTTTATACTTTTCAATACTACTGTCAATTAATATGAATCAAAGAGAAAAAATTTCAAGTAATAAAAGTTTAAACAATACCCGTTCATATTCGTTAAGCCAATCAACTGAAAAGAAGTCTGATAATCCCAAACATTTAGTTTAAAGAATCAATTTGACTAGTTCCAGACCTCCTTCAGTTCAAAGAATCAATTTAATTGGTTCCAGACCTCCTTCGGCTTCTTCTCTACAAAAATCCAATTTAACTAGTTCCAGCCCTTCTCCTTTGGCTTCTTTGTCTCAAAAAATCAAGTTAACCAGTTCCAAACTCCTTTAGCTTCTTCAGATTATTTAACTAGTTTCAGCCCTTCTTCTTCAGCTTCTTTGTCCCAAAAAAACTAAGTTAACCAGTTTCAAACCTCTTTTAGCTTCTTTGGATTATTTAACTAGTTTCAGCTCTTTTCCTTCAGCTTTTTCAGCTAGTTCCAAACCCTTTTCAGCTTCTTCGACTCAGAAACCATCCATTAACTTAGAAAAATTAAAAGATATAAGAGGAAGGTATAGTATTCGGCTACCATCAAGATATGAAAAAGATGTATTAATAGAAGCATTAGAAAAAAAGGGAAGAATACAGGAAAAAAATTCTTAGCGATGATATAGATTTATCAGGTCAGTATATATATATATTATCAGTTTATTTTTTGTTAATGACTTTTATATCTTTTATATTTTTTACACAGAGGACAACTACCAGAATTTAGCTAAAGAATTATCTGATTTACATATGAAATACAATCAGTTAGAATGATGAAATGAGAAATTATCAAAATATGCAGAAAAAGTATCTTGTGAATAAATCATTTAAGGGAGGATAACGAAATACTTACTGGTGTTAATTTAGATTTTAGCAATGAAAATGACAAATTAAAGAATGAAAACGCAGAACTAAAAAAAGCATTTAATCAAAACCAAAGTTCTATATCATCATTTAGTGCATTAAATAACTCTTCTGATTCTGATAATGAGCGATTGATAAAACATCCTAAATTTGATAAAAAATTAAAGAAGAAAGGAAAAAAACCATTACGTCACACTGATGATAAGGATTATAAATCATCAAAAAGTAGCAGCTCGACAGAAGAATCTGAAGAAACGAAAGTAAGGATATGTAAATTTGTATAGTATACATTGAACAGATTTATACTTTTATACTAATTGTTCTGATTTTTAATTTTTATTTAGAACAAGATGAAGGTTATACTAAAAATAATCAAGCCAATTAACAATATTGACTACAATGAGACATTCAATAGCGAACAAAATATTTGAATCTAAAGCAAACTAATTCTGGAACTTCAGAGAGTGTTGAGGTCACATTTTCATCCTTCAGTTGGTCAACTAATGAAATGGCTTAATAGCCTTTACAAGTCTTGTCGTTCGCAATCTAAGTTGAAGAGTATCAGAAGAATTACCAAAGATAATCATCATGTTCACAATAACGGTCAGATACAAAACGTAAATATTAAAATTAACAAATTTATATATATATTTTTTGTCATATATCATATATACTAATTTTTTATATCAATTGTTATCTAGAAAAGATTGCGTTGAGTGAAAGGTGTGAAAGACCTTTATAAAAAAGGGGATGAATGAATTATGAAATATGAAAAACGTGAGTTATTATTGAATTTAGCTAATCGATTATACCATTCACCTGAAATTAGTGAAGATGATAAGGAAGATCCAAGTAAAACTATCATCTGTATTTATGATTACTCGTGGCGCTTGAATAAGGTTTGCAGTCTATTTTCTTTTCATGTCTGATTTATTTCATTTTGTAATATTTTTTTTTAGCTAAAAATGCTATTTTGAAATGTTCTCGATCATCATTCTGAATCAATTCAAATGGCTAAGTTACAAAAAGATCGATAATATGATAATAAGTTATAACACTTTGATTATATGCATTCAAAAAATGCTTCTAAATGGGCATATATCAAACAAAAGGACATGGCATTCAACACAGAAATTGATGGCCAAGAAGACGAAGAAAGACAAGAAGATGAAGAAAGTTTACAAGTTGGAGAAAAATAAGCGAAAAAAGGTAAAAGGAATACGAAATTGATAAAATGGAAGTAGTTCTAATTAACGGTCAAAAAATGGGAGCCATTTCTGATGATGATATTATGAATGATTATTAACATATTTTCATTCATCTTATTTTATTTTTTTTACATTTTTTTAATTAGCTATTTAGCCTTTTTATATCAAAACTATCTTAAAAGACATACAAATCAGCAAGTTCCTACTCCTATTAGTAAAATTTATCTGTCAAACTTATCGAAGAATTTATTTTCTTTTATATTTGTTTATTTTACTTTTTTATTTTACTTATATATATATATTTTTTTTTATTCACTTTATCTTTACCATTCGCTTTCACTTTAATTTATTCTTTATTTTTATATAAATACTTAAAATATGAATGAATATTTTATATAATAATCAAATTATATATTGAAAATTTCGTATAATAATTAAATACTATATATACTATATTTTATAAACAAATTCTTATTATTTTCCCATTTTTTGATGAAACTTAATTCTGAATTCCATACGATTTTTGTCTGAATCTCTTTCTGAAATATGTCTAATTGGCTGCCAATCAGCAACCAGTCAGAATTTAAATTTTTTAGAAAATCAGACGTCTTTCATCTAAGATTCTGAATAAAATCAAATGTCTGATTTTTGTCTAATTTAGACTATTTCGACTAGTGATATAATAATATATTATTAGAGATTAAATAAATTTTAACGAAAAGAAATTAAATTAAATATTTAATACTTGTTACAATCAGAAAGACAATTGATTGATCTGTTTTAGAGTAATAAGTCTTCACTGGTCAAATCAAAAAATTCAGACATGCAAAAAATCAGCCTAAATTCAGCCTAAATTTGGCAAATTATCAAAAAATTGGCCTAGCTGATTGACATACGCTAGAAATCTGCCAAGAATCAGCTGAAATTTGACCTATCTTATTTATAGCCAATTGGCATACTTATTGCTGATTGACATACGTCAAAAATCAGCTAAAATTCAACTCATTTTATTTATAACTGATTGACGTTTGATTTATATCTGATTGATATACAGTGGCTACCAAAAGAAACGCAAGTGTGATTGGTTACCTTTGAACGGTTATAACTCATCAACCACAAATGCTAGAAACATGATCTTGTACTTGTTTTAAAGCCCAAATCTTGAAGGATATCCTGG